AAAAACAGTAATTGGAAAAGCTATAGACACCTCTATGTTTATTGCAGCATTATTTACAATAACCAAGACATGAATGCAATGCAAGTGTCCACTAAGAGATGTATAAAGATGGTGTGTGTGTGTGTGTGTGTGTGTGTGTGTGTGTGTGTGTGTGTGTATGTATATACATATATATATATACACATGATATGTATAATGGAATACTAATCAGCCATAAAAAAGAATTTTCTCTTTAGGAGAGCAGAAATGGACCTTAGAGTACTAGGCTAAAGTCAGAGAAAGATAAATAACATAAATTTCACTTACATGAGGAATCTAAAAAAGAAGACAAATGGACAAACAAAAGAAATGAAATTATAAATCCAGAGAAGAATTTGTTGCCAGAAGAGAAAGTGGGCCAGGGTATATGTGAAAGAGTTGAAGAGGAATATGAGATACAAACTCCCAGCTATAAAATAAATACATCATGGGGATGAAAAATACTACATAGGAAATATAGTCCATGATTATGTATTCACTTTTTATGATGACCAGTGTTTACTAGACTTATTGTGGTGAGCACTGCATCTTGTACACAACTGTTAAATCATTATTATATACCAGAAACTAATATAGTATTACATGTCAACTACACCTAATTGAAATATTTAAATAATTCAATATTAAATGGCTTGCCTGCTTTCTCAAATACAATTTAGATTGTTGTTCTTTATGTGTGGTTCAATCAGCCTTTCATAAATAGCCCAGCTACTCCACCCAATTCTTAGAACCTTGACACAGTATTTCACTTTCATTCTACTTACAATATCATTTCCTTGCTTCCATCAGATTGACTATGGTTCCCGAAGAGATCATGACATTATAGACCCAAAATCTTGCTTCAGATGATAGTAACAAAAACAATAAAATACTGATAACAATTAATATCTACAGAGTGTTTACTGGGTGAAGACTTATCATGAGTGATATCATTAATCCTTCACAACAACTCTAATGATTTAGGTACCATTTTACAGATGAGGAGGAATATTGAATCTTAGGTGACAGATGGAGATTGATGCAGTTAGAAATGGAACTCAACTCTAACATAAATCAAAGCCATTACAATACTATGTCTAACTAACAGCCTTGTGTGTATTGAAGAAGTCTGTCCATTAAAGAAAAATTACCCCAAGAAGAGAATAGATACAATCCTATTTGGTGAATTTTTTCATTTTGCTCAATAAATTTTGTTCTAGTACCCGGAGGTCCTAAAGCCCATGGTGCCAAAAAGTGAACATTATTAAAATCATAGCTGTTAATATAAACATCACCAAGAGATAATTTGTAAGGGTGGGAGAAAAGCAAAATATTTAAATTACGTTTGCTAAATCACTACCACTTACTCTTTAAGTGCCTCCTCTCTGCTCTTTAGGAGATCAACTTAGGAGAGTCTTAGAAGATGATTCTGGAAAAGGAGATTCCATGTCAAGTTTTTACAAATGGCTAGAGACTCAAATACAAATACATAACCATTGCAAACAGAGAAGCTTTTTTGCAAGATCAGATGCGGATTTATTTGTAAATTTCAAATAACATTGAACTGTAATTCAATGGCTATTTTAACAGACACTTAGCTCTCTTGCCTTGGATAGAGTAAATGGATTTGACTGCTGAACAACCCACTTTTGAAATGTTAATCTTCTCAGAATACACCCTGGGTCACAGAAGTTATCAATAAAGATGAAGCAGGGCACATAAAAGACAAAGGGTTTGGACCTCTGTGGGTTAACCTCTGTGGTTCTCTGAGAGAAAAACACACAAAACATGAAGTAGACCTTAAAAAGCATAAAGAAGGATAAAGCAGGAGGTTTTCCCCGTTTTTATTGGCTCCATTCCTTTTCCAGAAGAACTTGAAGGAGAACAACAAAGGAAGAGAACTGCCTGTCCTTTACCTACATGCTACCTTGCTACTCTCTCTCCTCATCATGAGTGGAGGATGAATAGATAAAAGCGTGGAAGGAGGAGGAGAATGTGATGAAAGACTCAGCAGAATGGCTTTGGAGAAGTTCAGGCATCTGTAAAGTTCAGAGAAGGAATTAAAGGCCCAGGAGAGAAGGCAAGATTTTCTGCTGCCGGCATCTAAGATGTGACTCAGAGAATGTCTGTAGGTACTGAGAGATGCTTCTCCATCCTTGGTCAGATCTCTATTACCTGCCTAAAAAATCTCCAAGGCTGAAGTCAAAACTAACTTTGGTTAAGTATCAAAATCCCTTGTGGAATTTAGCAAACCTGTATATGCCCCACCTCACCCCAAAGGTATATGGCAAGGCTGGCAAGACCGGCAGGTTTACGAAAGTTCAAAGCGATTTTGATGCCCCCGGGACTGAACACCAAGGAAATAATGACAGACAGCAATGCCATTTAACTCTTAGGTGCATGCAGACTTTGTGGGGATCTTGATAAAATGTTGATTATGAACCAGTGGGATTTGGAGTAGGGCTTGAAATTCTGTATATCTAGCTGACTGCTCGGTGATACTGATGCTATTGCTCCCTGGACCCCAAGTTGCATGGCAAGGGTTTCAAGAATCTGTCTTGGAGTCAGATTATCTGAATGTGAACACTGTGCTAAAAGGCCAGGATACTTCTCCTTCTCTAACATTGGCTCCTTCGTTCTGGATAATAACAATTTAAAAGGGTCACTTGTTCAGTGGAAACAGAAGGGTTTTTTTTGGTTGCGTAATATTGTCCATGCTTTGAATTTAAGTTAAAGCTTTGTGTTAGGAGAAAGAAGATGGACTTTACATAGATTTCATTGGCTTCTAAGTTAGAATTCCCCAATCCCTTGCACCTTATTACACCCTTCTCCCAGAACAATGCCATGACTGCCTAGATTGATTTCACAGGGTAGGTTCAGGAAGGCTAAGAGAGCTCAACTGGAGAGAAGTCTTGCAACTGGTCTCTTCTATTCCCAAAGGACTTACTTCTGTATCAGTAATCACATTTTATTTCAGCATCCAGTATTTCTTCACAAAAACAGTGTCTTTATCTATAGAATAAAAAAAAAAAACATGGTGATGCCATTAGAAGCCTACATCAAGGCCTTGGGTAAAGTTCTTCAGTTTCTAGTGAACAGCAAGAGCTCAATAAATGGCTTATTATAACAGCATTCTTTCTACTTAGCACTCACTGCCATTTTTGGCAGAAGTGGGCTAGTGACTTACAGAAAAGAAACAGAGTCAAGTTTATGGAAGAACCCAGTCTCTGCCTCTGGTTCAGGTGGGTAAACTGAGTCCACTTTATTCCCAACCTCTCTTCCCAGGGCTTTTTTCCCAGCTCTCATGAGGCTGTTTTCATTGTCCAAATACGGACAAGCACCCTGGATTTCTCTGATAAAAGAACTGGGAGAGGGAGCAGAAAACTTTTTGTCCAGTGAACCTGGATAATTAATTGCTGACCGTTTACTTCCTATGTTTGAGATACGTGTCTAGAGTAATGAGGAAGACTTCTCAAAAAAATAAATAAATAAAAGGAAAAACTGAGTTTATAATTCAGCCTGAAGGTGCATAACTTTTTATTTGCCAGTTCAGACTTGAGCTAAGAATCACCTAATCTATAAAACACTCAGTTCTTCATGAGTTCAATTAAAGCCATGGACGCCCAGATGCAGACTATTCGGCTTTGTGTAGTGATTAAATTGCTCTGGTTCAAATGGAATCTGATTTTTCTACTTTTTTCAACATGCCACCAAATTCTATACTTGTGTTCAAAAGGCCAAGATTAATCTGATCTCCATCGCTGTCCATATTTCCTCCTAGTTTCTCCAGCTAAGCACTTCCACTAATCTTTGCAGAAGGGGAGATTAATGTAAAAGGAATGATGAAACATTTGATTTATATTAGGTGCTTGTCATTCTTCATTAGCTGCCCCTGAGTCACCTTCTTAAAGCCCTGCAAACAGAATAAAATGGGATATGCCAATAGTCCATGTAGCATATTAATAAGAAGAAATGTAAATGGGAGAAGACTTTCATTTTGCCAGAATAAACAGAGCAATATGCAACTCTCCATCTCTCAGCTTTTTGTACTTTCTCCAGGGGCTCGGTCCAATTAGCTATTTCATATTAATCACTATTTGTGCACTTGATTCCTCCTATGGCAGCTTTCCATTTTCAGTTGCCCAGAAGATCAAAAGGCTTTTTATATTTCCTCAGATACTCTGCAGGATTCAAAAAAGGAAAATAGCAATATTTTGTGTGTATATTAGAATTTATCCTTTTCAAATTCATTCCATGTTTTAGCTCCTTGACACTCAAATCCCTTACAAAATGGTCAAGCCATGTGTGCACCTCAATAGCTAGTATCAAACTTTGCATCTAGTAGGTACTCAGAACAATTTTTTTTCAAATGGATAGATCTTCATTTACCTTCATGGCAGGTAAAGAAAATGATTAACAAAGATTCTAAGGGAAAAAGAAGATGGAAGTATTTAGGAATTAAGGTTAGATGTGCTCCCATTTCTCTTGGTAACTTTTTTGGATACTGACAGATAAGCAAACTTCAGTAAAAGGTTTAATAAACCCTATACAAAGTATAATGGAGCTACTCTGACCAAATGAACTACAAGTAAAAGTATGTGAGACAAGTCCACATCAATGGTATAATTAAAATATTTATAGCACTTATATTTTCAGACAGTATTTCTTTAAACTATTTTTGTAAAGTAGCCCAATAACCCAAATCAATTAGGTAATTGGTCTTTTCATTTTTCCTAAAAATACTTGGGGTCAATAAACTTTTAGTCTGTACTAAATAAATGCATTAAAAGAATAACATGTATTGGTTCTTCCTCAGGCTTTTACATGAACTAATATTTTAGAGAAATTAACTTTGTTTTTGAAGTTGAAAATTTAGATCCACTTTCCTTTGAAGCATATATGGATATGACATCCTTAGACCTCCCTTTCAAAGAGTTTCTAATCATTCTTTTAATGATCTGTTTTGCATTTTCAGAAGAGCCACCTATGTTAGCATTATTGGTCATTTCCTCCTGGAGGATACTGACTTACCAAAGACCCTAGATGTGCTGGTAAGTATTACATGAGATATGATAGATAAACCCAACTGCCATGACTACAAGTGATTGGAAAAGAATGGCTCTTGACTAGGTTACCTTTCCCATGCTTTTGAAATACCATCTACAACACTGAGCGAGTTGGTTTGGGGAAGCAGGTCCAGAGGCTGAGGCTTCCCTGTTTTGAGCACCTACAGCTGGCCATGAGTCAAGGCATGAGTTGGGAAAGGACAAGAGAACAGTTAAAAAAAAAAAAAAAGTGAGGACAGATGCAGAGAGAAAATGGGAAATGGGTATGACAGGCAATAATTCTGGCAAAAGTCATCCATGACTTTCCCCCATATAAGAGGCTTCCTGATTGCTTGATTTGAACTACTTCAGATTTCCTTATAAGATAATATCTTACATGCTGAGGCAGCATTTTTCACTTCTTTTTTTCTTTTTGGGTTGATGGCTTCAACTTCTAAAACCACCAGAAACATATAATTACATGAAGAACAAACTACCATTTTCTAGAGAGGGATATTGTTAAAGGAGAATTTTATGCTTTACAAATGAAAAGTAAAATACAAAAAGTGGAATTGCACACACACACAAAAATCATAGAAACCCAGGTCTGTGAATGAAGAACCCAACATTTATCCCACATTTGTTTTATGAAGATGAAGCCAAGTAAGTTGAGTCCTTAGAGTAAAAGGAGTTTGGGAGACATACACTGAAACAAATGTGATGCCCTATTTAATTCATTAATTCCATTTTCACAAAGTAGACTCATTCAGTAGGACCTGACAGTTTGACATGGATTTTTTTTAAACTATAATACATTTTAGAGGGAAAAAAGTCAGATTTTTCATTTGAGAGGTAGCATGGATCATGGGCTGTGGAGGCAGACAGACCTGAATTTGAGTCTTAGAATGAGCTCTTACTTCTTTGCTACCTTGAGGAGTTTACTTTGTCTACCTCAGTCTGGATTTCCTCATCTATTCATTGGGCCAAATAATAAGTGACAATTAGTTTCACTGTTGCCTTTTGGTGCTGGGGGGAAAGTGACTGAAGATCTTTTAATATGTGATGTACTTTTTATGTGAATCTGGGTGGATTTTTATTGAACTTAGAATCTGAAGCATCAGAATATCACCATACATATGGCATTCTGTGGCCCAAAAGCATTTTCGTGAGGTACTATGACATTTAGTTCTCCTCGCACACTCATTCACTTCTTCCACAGACATCTGTTAGATGCCTGCCTTGTGCCTGATCGTGTGCTAGTCAGCAGAGATTCAGCTGTGCAGATGACAGACTTAGCCCCTGCCCTCCTGGAGCGTAAACCCCCTGAGGCGGAGTTGGCTATTTTTACATTTTATTTTTTAAGATGATAAAAATAAGAATTAGAGCACGTAAGGTACTTGTCCAATATTTGCACAGTTGGAGAGGGTCAGACCAACATCAAACTTGCATTGTGACTTTAGAAGTAAGGGAACAATTGTTGTCTTTACATCTGTGGAGGGCGCTCTGCTTCTGGAACTGAGGTGCCTTAGACAGAATTAGAACAAGTCATGTTTCTACTGAATATATTTTTTACTGATTGAGTTTCATTTGCCTGAGGGCTGAAGCCAAGCTGGTGCTATGATTCATAAGTCTCATTTTCCATATGTTTGACTTAAGATTTTCCTTGACAACAGTTGATTAGCCACTCTTGTGATTTTAACTCACTAATGATAACTTGACCCGATTTCAACTGATTTCTCTTGGTTCAAGGCTCCCTGAAAAAGAACTCCATTGAGAGACGCCAGTACAGCTAGCATTCTCAGCTTCAACCAAACTAACCATCTCCATGTGCCAAGCCTGGTGTCAGTGCTGTCAGACTGCTTCACAGGTGATAGCCTTCTAGTCCTTTAGTTAAGTAACACACTAGTCCAGAATGGAGTAATGAGTTCCCAGATCCTATGCTGCTATAGTTCTGAAGATAAGAAAGCTCTAGATCAGTTTTATCATCCAAGTCCAAGGGGCTTTCTGTTTATATAATTTCTCTGCTCAGTGCCCTCAGCAGTTGTGCACTATAGATGGATAAAATCCAACATCCTTAGTATGGAACCAGATTTTTCATGACCTGGCCTTGACATCCTTTTAGAGCCTCATTTTTTACTAATATTTTCCACATTATCTATGTTTCAGCACAACCAAAATGCTTCTGGTCCTGGATCCTCAGACATATCATGGTGTCTACTATTTCTGCACCTAAATATTATGTCTGTAAGTATTGACTTGCCATTATTATGCTAATAACTAGACGGTGCTATGATTTTTTTCTATGTAATCCTCAACTAAAGAATGAGATCCAAAGCATTCATTTAGGGAGTCTATTAAAAGATGGCAGATGTCATAAACTCTTCTCCCTGACTTGATTTCATCCAATTGGCTTATAGCTATTTTAATGAAAACTAACAGAATTCTATTTATCAGAAAGACAGGTTATTGTGAGAAGAAATCAATGTGATGTCAGGTTCAGTGGGAAAGTGGGAAGTTTATAAGCTTGAATGGGTTGGCATATTCTATTTCAGTGAGTGCCATCTAATGTGACTGTGATGGAATTTTGCAAGACAGACGGACAGCCAGGACATATAAGGGAATGCTACAGTGGTAGGAGTAATTATTAGATTTCTAAGCTGGAAACTAAATGAGTGTTGGGTTTTGGGAGCCCAGACAACATCCCACCTCTTATCAAATTATATTCTTTTTACAACGTATTTGAAACGAGAAGAAATTTAGATCCTATATTAAGTCTTTTTGGTAATTTTGTTAAGAACAAGGCATTTTCTATTAAAATGGTGCAACTGCACAGCTCTCCCTCAATTTACTGAATTCTATCTTTGGGCAGGAAAAATCCTTATAAAATAAACCAATGAAAGCTGATAATACTACATCGCAGGGGGTGATATTAAGCTAAGTCCTATAAATACCGATCCTAATAGCTATAAGTACTCATCAAGCATCCAGAAACTCATATTTTAGTATTCAGTGACAATGATTTGGTCTATAAAAAGAAAAGATGTTTTCAAAATCTGTCAAGCATGTCCCCTTAAAATCACTTTAAAAATTATATTCCACATTTAACATTATTCACATTGAAATATTTAAACTGGGAAGCATTTTGTTCAATAAGAATGTTAGGAAGACAATCATGGTAAACTGATTAGTCTTAGATGGCTTTTAATAGTGATGATTTTGGCTGCATTCACATTTACTTTTTTACATCCTTCTTAAAATAGTCATCCTTTTCTGCTCAAAGTCTATAAGACAGGTATGACTTTTTTGGAATTCATTCTGTTTTGGATAATGTTACTTTCAGGTCAGCTCAGTATTCAAGGTAAATGACTAAGGCTGACCTTGAGAGAGTTACTCAGCTTTGCTGAACCTCTGTTTATTCATCTGTGAAATTAGGGGGTAATACCAGTACCTACCTCATAGGGTTGTAATAAGGATTAAGTGAATTAATACACAGCGTGTAAAGGCTTAGAAGAGTGATTGGCACATAGTAATTTCTTAGTAAATAGTAGTTATTATTATTATGACCCAGAGCAAGAGCAGAGTTGTTGTTTTATTTTTTTAAAGAAACAAGTAAACTTTAGAAGCATGAAAGATCACAAGTGAGACGTATTATTTCTCAGAACCTGTGTTCAGATATCATTATGTCTTCCCTGCATTGCTGCCACAGGCTTCTAAATGACATTCCAGTTTTACATCTTTCCAAAGACATTCATCTGGAGTGATCCTTTGATAACTTAGATCTCTGTAGATCTGATCCTTCAGACCACTCCAACTTTCTCTCAGTCCTGTCATTATCTCCTATTTAATGTTTTCTGACAGAAACATACTCCATTCCACTCCCATTATTCCCTCTCTTCCAATACCCAACCCACACAGCTACACAAATTCACCTAGAAAATTCTCACCAACTGTTCAAGCCAGGCACAGACTTCACAATTTATCCAGGAATTTTTTCCTCATCTTTTTCAGTCATGTCTCTGAGTACCTCATTTATGCTCCTTGGCACCTTGTACATCCTTATCAAGCTAGGTCACTATTATCTATTGTATCTATTGTACAAGTAATAGTGAATTCACTTTTCTAGCAAAACCTCAAAGAATAGGAGGCAATAGAATTGAGCATACCATAAATAATCACTAAAATATTTACTGATATTAAAAGCTCAATGGAATATTTTTTTATTTTTTTAAAAGATTTTATTTATTTGAGAGACAGAGAGAGCAAGAGCAGGAGGAGGGGCAGAGGAAGAGGAAGAGGCAGAGCAGGGAGCATGGAGCCCAAGGTGGGGCTGGATCCCAGGACCCTGAGATCATGACCTATGCTGGAGACAGATGCTTACCCAACTGAGCCACCCAGGTTCCCCCTCAATGGAATATTTTTTAAAGGAATAGGTACATATCATTACCATCCTGCTGAATATTCATGTTTTAAGATGATCTGCATGATGGTATTACCATGGAGTATGGACACGAAAGAAGAGTTATCCACGTGAAGCCCCCACACAACATTCCCGTCTCCTTTTCCAAGATATCCCCCTTGAGTGCTGTAATCTAACCATTTTGAATACAACGTGATACTCTGTGCTTACCTTCCATATGCCAAAGCCTTTCAGCATTTACGTAATGTGCTCCCTTTGCCCACAATGCACGCTCCACATTTTCTCCTGGTAAAGAACCTGTTCATGTAGAGAGCAGCCCACATGTCACCTTCCTAGCCATATCTCAGAACAAACACTGATCTTTCTGCACACCTCCCTCTATTCCAAAGAGTTATTCAGCCTCCTGTTAAATTAGTCCACACGTGTCTGTCTAGTGTGGGAGCCACTAGCCAATAGCCGTGTACTGCTATATAAATTTAAATTAATATTAAATAAAGCTTAAAATTCAATTGCTCAGTCCCAATAGTCATATTTCAAGGGCTTAGTCATCACATATGCCTACTCACTAGCATCTGGAGCAGTGCAGAGTATTTCCATCAAGTTCTACTAGAAAGTACTAGTTTTTTATACCTTGTGGCTAGTACACTCACATACAAGCACTCGATAGTCTATGATAGAACGAATTTTGAAGAATCTAGTTTCTCTGTTATAGCCCTTCCATCTGTCAAGAAATAGAGTTCAGCTCCACTGTTTCAAGTGAAGATAGTTACAATAAAGGCCTGCTTCTGAGGTATTGCATGGTTAATGGAATGAACAAGACATGTTGGGACACTCAGGGAACAGTAGCAATCCAAGCCACTACCACCAGGAGAGCTGAATCAGGAAGAATGGATTTATTTGACAAAAATAAAAATACTCCTAAAAGTTTGAAAGCTTCCACCCTCCAAGGAAGAAGGCAGCAGTGTTGCCCAGAACCTGGTGAGGGCTGGAGCTCGGGGAGAGGAGAGGATGGAAGGAGCAGCAGCCATGGAAGCCAGAGGCACTTCCAGAAGCTAGATGTCCAAGCAGGGAGGAGTGGGAGAGAAAATGTGCACCCTCTGACCCTCCTACGAGAAATACAATTGGCTGAACTCATCTGGAAGCCGGTGGGTAAGGGAGCAATTCACTGGCATTAGCCTCCCTCCCAGAGCACAGAAGAAATGCAGAGAATGAATCTATGGTGTAGGAAAGTAAAGAATAGCCATATTGCTTAATTTATCTGTTGGTTTTTCTCACCGGCAAGATTGAGATCACCCTAAGTTAGGGACCATACCTTACACACCTGCGGTGCAGAGCACAATGCATGACGCAGTGCGTATTCAATAACGGCTATTGAATAAACGAAGTCATCTCCATCCTTTCTATATTGGGTGGCCGTTTTCAGAAGCTAGGGTCACAACCTGTGTGGATTGCTGCCTTCGTTTTGTTATGGTACATACATGGCCTCAACCCCTGGATTTATTTGACAAAGTGAAAATAACTCCTTCATATGTTTTAATGGTTGAAACTATGGTTTCAGGTTTTGATGCAATTGTCAATACATCCTCTGACATGCTTAGCAAATATGCTGTTTTCATTTTCCCTGGCATATATCTTATCCTGATGGCACAAGTTGCTGACAAGCCAGTCCCCAGCAGAACAATGCGATCAAACACTCAACAAAAATACCACTTTCTTTAACAATAAGGCACCATCTGCTCTTAGATCTCCAGGCAGAATTTCTGAGGAAAGGGATTAAGTCAAGGAGGAGGAGCACCTCACTGCAAAACATGGCTTAAAAACAACACAACAGAGAACCTGGGTAGTAAATGGGGAGGAGTGGTAATGTTCCATGTCAACAGAGACATGTTCCATTTCAGCTTTATTTTGTTTTCCAGTGCGGCACACGTGAAGTGAAACTCCATATAATTGTTCACATTCTGTCATCACACTTGAGTTGTTTTTATATAATTTTAAAGGACTCGAGTTCTATTAATTTTGATTTATGTGATATCCCAGCAAAACTCCCATTACTGTACATGTTTTGAGGACTGAGATGAGAGGTAGAATTGGAGTAGGATCTCTGATCTGTTGCCATATTACACTTCCTTTTTGTAATGTTGGTAATAACAATAACCAGTACCACTTAAAGAGTGGTTTCTATGTGCCACTGTGGTAAATGGCCTGACTGCATTAGCTCATTACAGAAATGAAGAAACTGAGACCCAGAGGTGTTAAGAAATTTGCCAAAGATGTCACAGTTACTTGGTCAAACCAATGTCCTGAACCATTACACTGTTAACTCTTGACCTCTTTTATATTAATTGGAATTGGAATTTATTGGAATCATTAGAATAGTGCAAGAAATCTCTTCCTTATTTCTAAAATGTGTACTTTTGATATTACAGTTGGATCTCTTAGTGTGCATACTTATAAAACCTAAACCACTCTAAATAGCACTCACTTTATTAAAATACAAAAGCTTACCATATATTTCTATCTGTAGAAAGACTATGTTAGAATGCTTTAATAGAAGTGATGACCAAGCTTTTAGGGAGAGTAACTATTGCAAGCCAGTGGTCATTTCAAAGTGTCGATTCTGGGGCGCCTGGGTGGCTCAGTTGGTTAAGCAGTTGCCTTCAGATCAAGTTATGACCCCAGGGTCCTGGGATCAATTCCTCTATTGGGCTCCCTGCCCAGCAGAGAGCCCGCTTCTCCCTCTGTCTGCGGCTCCCCCTGCTTGTGCTCTCTCTCTCACAAATAAATAAAATCTTACACACACACACACACACACACACACACACACACA